AAGGATGGAAGGATGGGTCAACTTTGAGCCGGTGAGATTTGAACCGCCGAACTGTAGAACTGCAGTCAGCTGAAGTAGCCTGCAGTGCTTCATTTAACCACTGCACCACCTCCGCTCTCAAATATGAGCCAACAGTGTGCGGCAGCGGCCAAAAAAGCCAACACAATCCTAAATTGCATTAACAGACGGATACAATCAAGATCAAGTAAGGTACTAATACCACTCTATGAAGCCTTAGTAAGACCACACCTAGACTAACCACACCAGAGGTGGGATGCTATCAATTCACACAGGTTTGGGTGAACAGGTAGTGGAAATTGGGATGGGATCGCCGAACTGGTAAGGATTGCAGGCTGGCCCAGCCCCCAAGTGAAGCACGAAGCAAAGCGTGCATGAAGCAAACTGGCAGTAACACCAGCAGCAACCCACCCCTACCCCACACTATAAAAAAGATGTTGAGACTCTAGAAAGAGTGCAGAGAAGAGCAACCAGGATGATCAGGGGACAGGAGGCTAAAACATCTGATGAAAGGTTGCAGGAACTGGGCATGGCTAGTCTAGTGAAGAGAAGAACCAGGGGAGACATGATAGCAGTGTTACAATATTTGAGAGGCTGCCACAGAGAGAAAGGGGGTCAAATTATTTTCCAAAGCATTTGTGTGCCAGACAAGGAATAATGGATGGGAACTGAACAAGGAGAGATTCAACCTGAAAATAAGGAGAACTTTTCTGACAGTGAGAACAATCAACCCATGGAACAGAAGTTGCCTTCAGAGGTTGTGGGAGCTTCATCACTCGAAGCTTTCAAGAAGAGACTGGGCTCCCATCTGTCAGAAATGGTGGAGGGTCTCCTGCTTGAGTGGGGAGGGTTGGACTAGATGACCTACAAGACCCCTTCCAACTCTGTTAATCTGATCTAAAAGCCCCACTTCTAGCACTGATGATGTTACCTAGTTTGGGTCACATAACATCTGTGGGGAAACAACGAAGCTCAGAGAGCACCAAGAACCCCTCACTTCAACCACGAGCTGTAAATATTCTCCTTTATCAGACCCTCAGTTCAGTTTGGGTACAAGCTTGAAATTCCTTTTAGCCTTAGTGAGCTCAATCAAGACCGCTGCAGCGGTGGGGAAATTATTAATCAAGATCACTTAGAGAGGGATTGGCTTTTAACTGGGCCCCTCCCTTACAAAGATCAGATTCATCAATTGTGCAAGGACGGCGGTGGGGGAGGGAAATGGGCAGGGCATGCAAACCGCAGTGAAATCCATCTGCCATCTGCATGATCTTGGCCATCTAGTTAATTACAGAATGTACCAATCTGCATTCAGGAGTTGGGCAGTTGTTTGCGGTGTGCTTCCCTTCTTTCTAATTAGCTGCTTTTCAACATAGCCATGCATAAATGTAAAGCCACAGGCTATTTCCTGCTGGCTCGTTGCAGAGCTGCGCAGCTGACAATGGAGGACATTCGCTCTCTGTTCCTTCCCATGGAGGCTGCTGCAACACACAGGTACCAGAGGTGGGTTGCTACNGGGCGCGCCCTTCGCTGTTCCCGGAAGTTACTTACTTCCGGGTTCACCGACCAACCGGTTCGCAGGGACCGCCACGAACCAGTTGAAACCCACCCCTGCCTTTGGTACACGTGCCTGAAGGAGCACATGGAGTCATGTCACCCGGCACGCATGGCATTGCCCATTCCTCTTCCAGGTTTCTGGTGCCCATGCACATGTGCTGATAAGCTGGCTTTTGTGCATGCAACAGTGCCAGAAACCGGAAGAGCTGGTCTTCATTCTCCGGTGTGAACATGCACGGCCAGCTGTTTGTTGCCTGCACATACGTGGCAATAACCAGAAGACCTCCGGAACCCCCCTGGGCAGCTCTTCTTCCTGGTCACCACCCTGACAAGTGCGTGCTCACGACATGCTCCCTCCCTTTTCGGCACTTGGAACCGAAAAGGTTTATCGCTGGCCTCTGCTTTCTTTATCTATACAATTTGTGTATATTTTTTCATTTAATTTCCCCCCCCCACATTGAATGAAGTTTGTTTTGCTATAATATATGGGGAAAAAACCCATGCCTCTGATTGCTGCAAAGCAAGGGTGTCAAACTCGATCGTGTCCCGTGACGTCCCGTGACATTTTCTGCCATTGCAGAGCTGAGGTGGGCATGGCCTGTGCAGGACGCATCCTGCCTGTGGGCCGCCAGTTTGACAGGCCTGCAAGAAAATGGCTGGATTCTCATCTCAAACTAAATTAAATGCTTTCTTTTTCTGATTTTTAGCAAATGAAAAGGAAGAGCTTCCCTCAAACTATCTATAGCTATAGAGCTAGATCTATATCTATAATCTGAGTCTCTTTGAGAGTGGGCGGCATACAAATTAATTAAATAAATAAATAAAAATAAATCTATATTTATATCCTATCTGTATCTATCTGTTTCTTTAATACCTATCTGTCATCTGAAATATTACAAAAAGAGGCA